TTTTTCATTATATTAAAAAAAAATCATGAATCTATAAACTATAGTCTCACTTTGTATATATAAAATATTAATTGAGACGTTCAGGAAGTTATACTTTCTAAATTTATTATAATTTACCGCTATATCAAATTATTTTGTTTGGTAATTTTTACTTAAAACGATGGTAATTTTTTGTTTACTAAATTGAAATTTGTTAATTTTTTTTACTGATTACAAATTTTTACAAAAAAAAAAAAATTTATAAAATAGTATTAAAAAAAAAGTTAGAAAACATGAAATGAAGAAAAAGAGGAATGGACCAAAAAAAAAGAAAGAATTCTAAATAAACTGCACGGTAATCTAAGATACGTGTGAGGGTATTCAGGAGCATATTACATAAATAACGTTATATACTCCCCCAAGCTGAAATAACCGCGCCTCGCTTTTGCGGCGAACCAACTTTGGTTCCCATGTACCTTATATTCTGCATGAATATTCACTAACTAAAAACCATTTTAACATATAGGAAGAATAATGTTGTGTGTTTAGTAATATTTTTCCCTTTTTTACCTTCCGGGGATCTTCCATTTTTTATTATTTCCAAAAAAAGGAGCATCTTATTTCAAAAAAAAAAAAAAAAACCCAATGAAGAAATTTTTTATAAAAAAAATATTAATTTTGACAAATTAAATTATAGAAACAAAAAAATATTTAAATTTAATATTTTTATCTAAAAATAAAATAACAAATCATCAATAAATCCCAGGGGGGGAGGGGAGATAAACAAGCGAAACTGGTTAAACCGGTGTCAAGATTCTAAAATGGGAGAATCAACAAGTGTCCCCCTTCTCCTTTTTGTCGCATATTCTTACAAGGGGGGGGGGACCATGCGTGAAAATAGAGGTCAATTTTTTTTTTTTTTTTTTGCAAAAAAGGTTTTTTACCTTAGCAATTTGAAAAAGTGCCTGCCTTCTGTGTCGCTCCTGCTTCATTTTTCGTCTTGGCTTTCTCTTCTCGTTTTGGGGTCACAAATTGTAATTATTAATCCAAAAATCCACTTTGTTGAAATGAAGAGAAGAAAAAAAAACGAATTCACTTATCACTAATTAGTGTTGTTATTAATACGTTGAGCGTCATTATTATTTTTTTTTAAATTTCCTTATTTGAAAAAAAAAATGGCACTACCGCACACACATTCACGAGAAGGATAATAGTAGTACTTTCTGACGCGAAAGACGATGCAACAATGCCCGGATAGGGCCCCACCGGCTTCTAGTCGATAGTAGCGACGCAAAGGACTCGAACGGACAGGTGACTAACTAAAAAACGAGGGACGACGATGGAGAATGGGAATCGCTTTTTTTTTTTTGTTTGGTATAGTGAGTGTACACTATAGTAAATAAACTATAGTAAAACGGCCATCTTTACTACGAGGAGGACCAAACAGCGTGGGTGAGGAGAGAAAGGCCCTTGGGTCATTTGAATTTTAACCATAGTGGGGGGGGGGCAGAAGAAGAAGAGGGTAAAAAAGGGCCAACTTGGAGTGGGGGGGAAAAAGACGTTGGTGAAAAAGAAAAGAAGACGCGCTTGGATTGGAGAGAAGAAAGAGAGGCAGTCGAACCTTGGGCATTGAGGAGTGGAGGGGGTAAGACCCAAGGCGATGCGGGATTAGTGGAGAGAAGGGGAATCTTGATAATTTTTTGAAGACACACGAGGAAGAACCGGTAAAGAAAAATCTCTCACGACTACGTTTTACGCTACGTTACTCCACTACGATTTTGTTACGCAATTTGATTTTCGAGTAAGAATGAGTAATTTGGGACTTGAATTTTGGTTGTACGTTATTCGGTTATATAGAAAATTGGAGAGAGAAATCCTTGAACGAGGGCGACGTCGTTACTTTGCCCACTGTGCGTAAACGATTTTATGGAAATTTGAAATGAAAAAAAAAATATATATATATATTTCGTCAGATTTTTGATTTTCTAGATGATTGACCGTGAAATTGAAAGGGAATTACTGTCAATCGAAAAGAGAATTTAATGAAATTTAAAAGAGAAAAATATGAAAAAAAAGAAATAATTCAAAGTGCGATAATAAACTTGTTTTTAACAAATTTTGCAATGTTTTATTTTAAAACAAATATATTATAATTGAATTAAATAAACTATTTGTCTCGCAGAGCGTAATAATTTTTTTTTACTTGGCGTAAATAAAATAAAAATTTATTTGCAAAAAATAAATATTTACTTTATCTAAATGTTTATTTTAATATTTTGAATGAAGAAAAAATTTGATTGAGCCATAAATAAACTTTTTTATCTTTTTAATTCAATCAAAAGTTTTGGTTAACAATTTTTCATTGTTTTAAATAAAATAATTTTTTTAAATTTAAAATTCATGGGCATGACATTTTTTAAATAATTTTCGATTATATTTTATAAAAACAATTTTACCATTTTTCATTGGACTTTTTTTAATTTTCAAATTTTTTGAAACAAATTTTTAAGGATTGAAAAGTACTTTTCAAAAAAAAAACTTTTTAAAAAGGAAATTTTTATCAATAGTTGGCGACGTGAATTTGGTATAAAAGCGAACGCACAGTGTTGGGAGTTTAAGAAAATGTATGAAATACTGGGAAATAGGAAGAAAGGTTTATATGAAGGTTCAGTAGAGGAGAAAAAAGAAGGAAAAAAGAATTTTTGCCAGGTACATCTTTCTCTCTTTGTTATATCATTGAAGCGCGTGTAATTTTTGAAACTTCTTCTTCTTCTTCCTCTATTTTTTGATGATGGTTAAGAAATTCGTTGCATTTCATCAGTTTTCTCTATCTTAAAAACTCCTCTATAGGGTGCCATCTAGATTAGGATTACGGCCACCATGACATTCGAAACTAAATTCCATTGTCTAGACTAGAATTGTACTTTTTTTTTCCTGATCTGTCAACGGACGATTTTCACATATTTTTTTTTTGTAGAAAAAAATACAATAGAATAGTGAAAAGAAAAATTGTAACAGAAATTGTATATCAGTAGCGTGTAAAAGTTGATTTTTTTCACAATAGAAGAAAAAATTTCAATTATTAATTGTGGCGCGCTTTGGACCTTAGAAGTAAACGAATTATAGGTTATGTTTACGGGCGGTTTTACATTAATTAAGTTTTCTAAATGTAAAATTTTTAAATCTTTGTTATTTTATAGCTTTAAATATGAATAATTTTGAGAATTAATCTGTGTATATTTTCACTTAAAAATTTCGAAACATAACCTATAATTTTTTTGTTTCTAAGGTCCTTTTCATACAAATTAAAAAATTTTGAAATTCATCAAAATAATTACACAATTTTATTCTATAGAATGAAAAATACGTAAATTGCTTCCAATTATTAATATATATATGAAAAAGAAAAAAATATAATGAGTAAATATTTGCATATGTGCGGTAAACGAGTAAATTTTGCGCAAAATTAAAATACAGTCATTTATTATCATAAAGGGACTAGAATAATAAAAATAGAAGACTCTCTCTCTCTCACTCTTTCATTTCTACAAAATGTGGTCTTTTCACAGAGAGTGCGTTTTGTCGCATGAAATCAGAGTGGTTGTAGAAAACCGGTTTTTTGCGACGATGTGCACACAGTTTCGTACTAGTATACACAAAGCAGTTGTTCATGCAAAGGAGTCGGAAGTTTACGAAGTAAGAATTACGTAGGTTTTTTTTTTTTTTTTCTACAAAGGTCCACGCACATAAACAGACCAAAGATTTTCTATTCTCTCGATTTCATTTCATATTTTTTTTCCCTTTTTCTTTTTTTTTTTTTTTTAAATACTTCCGCCTTCTTTGTTTCCCTTGTTATTCTCTAGTGAAATATATATAATTGTCTTACAATAAATATTCAAATTTATTAAAACAATAATATACTATTGTTTTTTGTAATTTATTGTTAATTGCATGAATTATAAATTTATAAAAAATTTTAAGTTATTATGGCAAAAAAAGGGGTTTATGAGACGATTTTTTGAAAGAAAAATGTAAATATTCGTTTGGATTTGGAATAGTATAGGTTGGAACGTATTAAGAAACCGGTTGTGCGGGTGTTTGTTAAATCACTAGACTATAGCCACCGAGAAATTTTCTTTTAAATAGAAATAGAAAATTTTATTTTCTAAACTAAACACTTTTTTTTTATAGACTTTCATTTAGATTTTTATTTGAAAATCAAAATTTGAAAAAGGGAATTTTTATAGGTGGTGTAAATTTGTTGATATAAGGAACAGATAATTCTATACTTGCTATGGACCATAAACTCTCTCGAGGGACTATTGCATAAATGAGAAAATACTATATATAACTGATATAACATTATCCAATGACAAATAATTTACAGTTACTTTTCTTATACACGTGTTCATAAAAAAAATTCATACAAATATATATGCAAAAGTTCAATTTACTGATTTAAAACGACGACCATATAAAATTTAAAATGACCATATAATTGAACTTATAATTCCACTGAGAACATAGATTGATTATATATCATATATACAGCATAATAAAATCCAATTTCAATTTTTAAATTATTCATATACATATATAATTCATTCTAATACCGTCAGTCTTTTCTTCTCGATTTTAATCTAATATATGTTTACTAAAATACTAACAAATAATTCTTTTTTCATTTTCTACTGTATTTAAACAAAATTCGACATTTATTTGAAAATTAAAGTTTCTATAATGCTGGCCCATTGTTCCATATACATTGGAACAAAGTTACGTTTATTGGGTTCAAGAAAACGTTAATTTGTTCTTGAGAAGAAAATGTCACCTCACTCCAATCATCAAGAAGGTGCAAAAGTTCCTTTGTTCCAGATGATTGTTATAGGAATAAACTCTGTGCTTATGGCTCTCCCTTTTCACACAAAAACTCATTATTTACCATATATATACTCCCACTTGTAAAATTCCTCGGATGAGTTCTATATTTATACAATAATAGGCAATATTTTTACATTCTATTTGTTTATAAATACAAAAACGACAAATCGTTACTATTGACTCAAAAATTTAATAAAATTTTTTTATTTTTTTTAAGGATACCATACTTTTTATTTTATTACAAAAAAGTTTGTAACAAATTTTGAACATTTATTTTTCCTTGTCAAAGAATAATTTTCGAATTATTACATATTTATTCGAAATATTTAAATTGATCAATATTTTTTATAATCCAATTATAAAAGGCTGATATTTTTGTATAAATACCAGGATATCCAGGACGTGCACAACCATCACCTCCCATTACAATTCCTATTAATTTCCCATTTAAAACTGCTGGACCACCAGAATCACCAAAACAACTATCGACACCACCGGTTTTTACAAATCCAGCACAAAATACACGATCATCATTTAAAGGATTATTTGAATAGATTTTTTTACACTCATCCTCATCTATTATTGGTACAAAAGCAGTTCTCAAAACATTCGATGCAAGACCATTTTCCTGTTTATATTTTTAAATAAAATTGCGATTTTAATAATTTTTTTCAAATTTAGTAAATTCGACGATTATTTAAATAAATAATAACAAAATTAAAATAAAAAATATAATTTTTATTATTATACATACACTTGTAACTCCAAATCCGGAAATTTGTATTTTACGACCAACTGGCAAGTCATCGAATTTCGCCAATAGAATTGGACTTTGCTTTTCTTTAATTTCAATTGGAATATCTAACTAATTATAATAAATAATTAAAATTAGTTACCAACAATTTATGATGAAATTATTAAATTATTGATTATTATTATTATCAAATAAATAAATATAAACATATAATAATAATAAATAAAATATATTTTTTTAAATTATATCAATTTTGCGAAGTTTTTTTTTTTTTAATTATAAAAAATAAAAACTAATGAACGATAATATTTAAATGAAATACCTTAATTAAGGCAATATCATCATTATAGCCTGCATCATCTCGTTTACTATATTTTTCACGATATCGTATCACTTTATCAATTTTGTGTTCTTCACCGCCATAATATTTATATGATGTTCCTAATCGAACTGTATAATCAGATTGCAATCTAAAAAAAACAAAATTTTGCCAGCAATTTTTTGCTGTTGTAATATTGCAAAAATCTAAATTTAAAAAAAAATGACTAAACATAATACAGACAAACAAAAAAAAGGAAATGTTACACTGAGAAAAAAAATTTAGTGTTTGCAAACAAAATTGTTTGGTTAGGCAATTTTGGTTCTTGTAACCAAATTTTGGTTGGCTGAAACAAAGTCGTAGAGTTATCTCAACCAAACATTTGGTTAAGCCAACCAAATTATTTGGTTGAACATTTTTAAATTCCAACTAAAATTTAGTTACGACAACAAAATAATTTAGTTGACACAACAAAATAGTTTGGTCAATTGGATAAATATTAATTCAATGTTAAATTGATAATAAAAAAAATAATGAAATAAATAAAAAAGATAAAAAGAAAAGAGATAAGGTAGAATAAAATTTTTAATTTTACAAAGAAAACTGTTTGTTTGATCAACCAAACATTTTTGTTGACCTAACAAAAAAAAGTTATGGTTGAGCTAACCAAACATTTTTGTTATGCCAACAAAAAACACTCAACCAAATTTTTTCGTTGACTCAAACAAATAGTTTGGTTGCTTAAATACGAACAAAATTTTTTTGTTGGCCCAACCAATTTTTGGTTCCTCTGACTAAACATTTTTCTCAGTGTAATAAAATCGGAATTTAATTTTTTTTTAAATAAATTTAAATTAATATAATATTTAAATAATAAATTTTTGATTATAAAATATTTAATAAAATAAAAATATTATATTTAATAAAGTAAAAAAATAACAAAAAATATTTTTAAAAAATAGTTTATTTATAATAAAGTTGAAATTGAAAGAGTAGTTTATATAACGATAAGATAATTAAAAATTTCATTAGTAATTTAACAGCAATATTTATATAAAATTGTTTCGTAAGTGAAAAAAAGTTTAAAATTATTATTATCCATTTGTTTTGTTAATAATTATAATGAAAGTTTACTAACTCTTGTACACAATGTGAGGCAGTTATAAGCCATAACTTGTCTATAATGACAGCTCCACATCTGTAGTTTTCGTCATGAAAAATAGCCGCCTATAAAAATATGTGGCAAAAAAAAAAAAAAATTTCAAAATAAATTTATTCTAATTATATATAAATATATGGTTATATACTTGATGTTTATACTCTATTATTAAACTCATTAATCTACTGTTATGAATTATTTCAAATTTTTTTTTTTTTTCTTTTAATTTTGAAATTGCTTCGAATGTATGTATGGAATGTTTTAATTACCCGTGTGTAATCAATCATAAATATAAATATATGTATATTCAAATATACTTTTGAAAAACGATCAACTCTTAATGAAAAATTATTGAAATTCTAGCGTTGAAAATATGGTATTTATACCTATATAGGAGAAAATTATTTCAATATATGATTCAATAACGAATCTTGAATTGCAAACATTTGTCTAATTTTCTAAAATGAATTTTTAATTTTTAAAATTGAATATTTTCAATATACTTTACCATATATGGAATGTGATTTATGTCGGCAACTTTTCCTCCAATAATTCTTTTAACCAAATAATCATAGTGTGCATCTGACGAATAATTTTTATTAATATTAATATAAAAAGTAAATTAAATTTTGTTTTATAAAAAAAAAAATGGAAAAACTAATTTTTTTTTAATTGTAAATATACAATAAAGCGAAAAAAAGAATACCACAAATGATGATAGAAGAGTTAATAAAAAAGATGAATGTGATGAGGAAAATCATGACTTTTGTGAAATTTAAAACACGCCGGACAGTTATAAAATATAAATTTATCATCAGTTATCTGAGAGCGTTATGTCACTTGCGTAGTAGATTGTAAAAATCTTCATCCGGTTTGACACTATATATATATATATATATATATATATGTCATTGAGTAATATATATTTTAATTTAAAATATAATAAATTCTCTATATATATTAAACGTCATTAAAAAATCCCACAGAAATAATTTCCCGTCACCGCAAAAAAATAAAATTTTGCAATTTTTTTTTTTATTCTACGGTGAAAAATATTTTTTTAATTAATTTGTTTCTTATTATCGAATATCAGGGAAACAAATTTTATAAATTAAGGTGTTGAAAATTTTTTGTAATAAACAATCTGATTATTATTAAGAAAAAAAAAAACCAAAGTCAATTTACATAATTCACACGAAATTGCCCTTGTGAATTTTCAGGAGCATAGCCCCCTGGGCATATGTATGTAAAATCTGTGAGCCAAGAAAAGACGTTTAATATCATAGTCGCAGGTGAAGAACGTGAGAAAACGCCAGATTGTTAACATTGATTCTTCATTGATTCTATTGTGCGCCAACATTATATTATTTTTATTCAACATTGTATCACGATAAACGGTCAATTAAGTTTACAGATGTTAAGATTTTTTTTTTTTTTTTTTTTGTCGCACATTATCGAAATTTGCTTGACAAAATGAATTTTTTTTTCTGAGTCCGAATATTTAGCGCCAACAGATGCTCGCAAAACCACATTTTATTGTGACACACGCGGCTCATTATACATTGTTCATTATTCTATACTATATATATATTGTATAAATTGTGTGTTTTAAAAAACATAAAACCCGTTTCACAATTAGAATGTGCTACAGATACAAATACTTTTGTACTCATTCATTAACAGATGAATGCTAATGAATACCCTGTAAAATTTGACCCAATTTTATACTAATTATTATTTTCATTATCATATTGTTTTTGCTGAAACTGGCAAATTTTATCATCATTTCCGAGATATAGCAAAATATGAAAATTTTATTTATTACAAAATGTTATTAAAAATATATTATTCGTATTTATGCTAATTAAGGACAATTCTTATATTAATATTAATTATTAATTATTAATATTAATTCTATTGGTATTTATCTCGATTGTGAGAGAAAATGACTCGCCACCTATGAGTCATTGGTCGTACTTGAATATACAATGCGCAAGACGACTGTGCGCAGAGCGCGGGAATTTTGAAACTTACTACGAAAAATTGATAAATTATTTTATTATTAAATAATAATTATTACTTAATAATTATTATTAACTAGTAATTATTAACTAATAATTATTAATAAATAATTATTATTAACCAATAATTATTATCAAATTATAATCATAGTAGTAAAATAATAATTTCCTCTATAAATATAAGAATGCGTGAAAAAAACGTTATTTCTTTCTTTTTCACTTGCGAAATGGAAGTTATATAAAATTGACAAAAGAATTTGAAATCCTCATATGTAAGCAGATGGATGCAAAATTTAGAGGGAATGTTATGAAGAAACCGGAGACTTCGATGCCTAAGTGTGGTCCGAATTGTGGTCATATGAAGGGCATAATGGCGATTTTATTCAGCCATCTTTGTTTATTATCGGGAAGCATTTTGGGTACCGGGTCTTCACCCCTTTTTGGCTGCACGCACGACACGCGCATCACGCACGTTCATAATTCGCATTTGAGTTCAAGAAAGAAAGAAAGAAAAAAAAAAACCCCCCCTTGCAAGGTTTCACGAACCCATCTGCTGTGTCATTGTAACACTCGAAGAAGAGAGCAGAGATGCCTCGCAGGTGGTTCCATATACATCTAGTTTTAAATTACATTTTGACAATTTTTTGAATACAGAAATTTGTTTTTCTAAATATAAGAAAATATTTTTATTAAATATTTTTAAATTCATAAAAAAAGGAAAATTACAATTGTATAAAAAAAAATTAGGAGACCACAGATGGTGAGTTGAGTTTTCTTAGCATTTGCGCACACGTTCCGCGATGTACGTATAATTTCTCGTTTGTACACTATGTATAGAGTCCTATGCTATTAAAAATGTTTGAGGCACGCATTACTGTCGTGCACTGGCATCTTGAGGGCCACTTAGAACAACAGGTGTTTTAGTATATTTAACTTAAATACCCTCGCGAGGGAAAGGGGGAAAAAAAATAAAAAATTAGCGGCGTATAAAGAAAATTTATACAGAAAAAGAATTTGTGTAGCATTTGTCATGCCAAAGGAAACCTTGACCCTTGTGAAGATTCTATATAAGCTTGTAAGGTTTTTCAAAAAATTTTAACGTCATACAAATAGGGAGAGAGGCGCTTCTTTTTTTTTCGATGACAGGGTCAAAGACTCAGGTGGTACTATTATTCAGGGGTTAGTGGTCGCGCCCACTGATGCATGAGAACATTTATTATGACCCCTAACATATATATATTGTGGGATACTTAGGCTTTCAAAATGATTCCCTCTTGTGTGATGAGATGTGGAATCAAATTGCCTTCAAGGCGTTAAATTTTACTCCCTTCATGTCAAGAAGCCTTTTAGTCTCTTTGGAATGTTCATAAAAATCTTTTTTAATCTCTAAAGTATTTAAATTTAGAAATTGGTTTGATTTAGATATATTTAGGATATTAAGCTTAATGGAATTTTCAAATCGTTTGTAATTTTGTACCTCGATTGTGAGAAAGAATGACTCGCCACCTATGAGCGATTGGTCGAACTTAAATATACCATGCGCAGACGTCTATGCGCATAGCGCGGTAACATTTGAAAATAAATAAGATTTTTTTTTTGATAAATCCCCATATTATTGATTTCCTAAATTATAATTTAGCGCAGCAGAAGAATATAGATAAAAATTGAAGAAAACTAATTAGAAATTTAAATAAATATCGTATTTTTGAATAGAGAATTTTGGAAAAAAAAAATTGTTTACTTCAATAATCCACAGAAGCTGATGGTGAACTTTAAAGATATTATTATGACACCCTCGCGCACGTGCCATATTATTGTTCTGGTACACGCTGTGGTAAAAAAAAAGAAGATCAAAGAGATTTGCTGCATAGGTGACTGAGGCGAATTGTATATAGAATATAGAGAGTATAAATGTCAAACTGAAGATATAGGAACGCTACGCGTACTCCATCTTCTTGTATATATATATACTGCTCGAATAGTGAAAGGAAAAGAGTTTCGCGTACAAAAACAGAATGCCAGAGGGGCTCATCTTCTCTTTATATCGATTGCATAATATCATTCAGCATATAGAATTCTACTACTACGATACTATAATAGTTTTGCGACTATATAGTGAATCACGATGGCATTTTGCAACACTTCTTCTTCTTCTTCTTCTTCTTCTTCTTCTTCTTTGCCTCAAAGAAATTTGAGGACAAGTTTTGTTATTTGTCGCGATAATTAAAATTATATTCTAAAATAGAAATTTAAAAAATAGGTTTTGGAATTCAATGAAAAAGCGCCAAAAAAAAAAAAAATATATATATATATATATATATGTATATAACGGCGCGCAGGACCCTGCGGTCATGTCAGGGATTTACTCTCCAAGTTTCAAGTTTCTTGTAACCTGTTTTTCAACTTGAAATCGAGTTGGCCGGTCATCGAAAATTATCATCATCATCAGAAATTAACGTCCAATGTTTATAAAAGATACGAAAAAAAATCGGGTTTCGAGATTTCTCTAAAATTTAATCTGTGGAATTAAATTTTTTAAGAAAGGATATATATATATATATCACAGACATAGTAATGAGATATTTAAATTCTTATCGCTTTTTTACACTATATAGCCTTTTTTATTTAAAGACGCAAGAGGTGATGATTTTCAAAGATGATGAACCCTCTAAAAAAGGTCAATTTTAAAATTGTGTTTTAAAAATGAATTTAATTAAAATTTACAAATTTACACCTCAAGATATATATATACAGATATTCAAGATTGGAGATCGCGCATATATGCAATACAGTTTCCGGAAAATTGTTAGGCAAATTTATGCAGGTAACAGTCCGAAAACCGAAACCGCTATTTGGAATATATCGTTGTTGATGAATCTTCATTCTTTAAATATATAGAAGAAATTGAAACAATTTCTCATAAATTTACAGTTTGATTTATCAGATTTCAAAATGATTGTATCAGGTTTGACATAAAATTTGATAGATAGTCGTAAATTTTGTGGTTTAGAAAAGAATCATATATACAGACATATATGGAGATTTATAATCGTTACTTAACTTCGTTGTTGTACAGAGAATTTAGTGTGCAAATCAGAAGCGAGATGATTTTAAAGTTACTCAAGTCAATTCTTCTCTATATTTTTACAAAAGAGGAAGAAGATTAGTATCAGTTCACGATTGGCTGACTCATCTTCACTTCGTTGCGGAAATTCATTAAAAAATTTGTATCAAGCTGAACAAGATGCAAAAACCTGTCAAGGGAAATGGAATCTTTTATCTTATATAGATGCGAGTTTGAAATTCTTTTGGAATAATGGAAAATTATGCTAACGATTTAAATAAATCAAAATCGGTTTAGCCAAGTCTTCTTTAATTTGAAAAAAAATTCCCCCTTTGGCAAAATTGCGGTTGCGTTTTTATTAAGAGCGGTTTATATTGCAATCATCATCATCATCATCATCATCATCATCAGCCGGATGATAAGAAAGTTATAAGAATTTTTTTAAACCAAGAAAAGGTTATTCAAACATTTACGATGCTACTTATATCAAATTACCTAATCCCTATAACCAATACTTAATAAATATTCTCGTTGGTGATTAAGTGAAACTCAGATTCACCTCTCGCACGTGCTTGGATAATTTATAATTGAAGTAATTCTTGTGTATATACGGATTATAATGACGAGAATTATCAGAAGACAAACTTTGTAGATAGGTCATCGCCTCTCTCTCTATATATATATATGTTTTCTATCCTTTCGACTCTCTAGAGAAGCTGTAAGTGATGCTGTATGTGTTGCTGTATATGTATATCTTATATACACTTAGATATATACTCTACAAGATGTGCCACCATTTATACTAAGGTGCTGCGCACGTGCGACGTATACTCTAAAGACAAAAATGAGAGAAAAACACAACATCAAACAGAACTGGTTTTCTCCTCTCGAGGGATCCTTTCCACTGTATGTATGTATCACCAATACTTAAGCAAGTTTACCTCACGTGAAGGTAAAGAGTTTTTCTCTTTATGTATGAATTTGCAAAAGAACGGATTATCGTGATTTAGTACAGTCAGCTGTTGATGACAATTCCCATCAATTTTGTTAAAAATGAGAGAATTATAAAAAAACAAATGTTTAGAAAAAGAAGAATTTCCTCAATACCAGGATTTCAATAATAATCTTCTTCTTATTATTTCTCTTTTGTCGTTAAACTTTTTCGAAATATTCATTTTCCAATGTAGTTGCTAAAAAACAAAAAAAAAATCTCAGATGATTTTCTTTTCTATTTTACTTTCAAGAGTCTAATGATATGGAACAGAATAGTGTTTTAGAGAATATGACGACAAATGTTGAGATGCAAAATAACGGTAGCAATAATAATGGTGGAGAAAAAAAAAAAAACAAAGTTGGAAAAATTAGAAAAGAATTTTTAAATAATTATAGAATCGAAGAAAACGTAAACATATTGAGGAAACAAAATTTAGCTTCTTCATTTATGAAATTGGTACACATGGTGAAGAGGTTCATCGGGGCCAGTCACGAAAGAAAACCCGTTGCGTTGTTTTCGACGTCTTCGAGAAAGAGAAAGAGAGGCACTCTTAAAAAAAAGGGGGAGAGGTATAACCGGTTCTTGAAGAAATAAGAAGAGAACAGAAGTGGGAGACAGGATCGTACTCAGAATCCTTAAGAGTAGATATTATATTACCCTATGGATCAATTTTTGATATGTTATAAGATATTAAATTACCAAAAATGCCAATAATATTTTGTATTATTTGAAAATTTAATTATTAATAAACATGTAAAATTTTCAACAATTAGCTAAAATTATAAAAAAAAAGAAGAAAAAAATAGAATTTTTTTTTTTCTAGAGGAAATATGAAAGTAATAAGAATTTCTTGCTACACTCCTGAGGAATGAAAATAGAGGACAAGATATATAGCATTAAAGGAGGCTATAGCGTGCTAAAAACCGGTTTTACGTTTTAAACTAGAGTAAAAGTTTATTGCATTGCGAATTCGCCAAATTGAGCGTATACATGCGTGTGGCCGTATAGGAAAAAAAAAATATGACCACGCATCATGATCGAACTCTTTACAAAGTCAAAAGTCGTTAAATGTGCACGCAGCTGCGCATTAGACATTACTAAAAATAAAAATCAGTTATGTATTCTTAATTACCTTACATATGGAATTTTCTCTCTTCCCAAGGATAAAATATCTATATAATTATTTTGCAAACCAATCCCATCGATATGACTATAAAATGCATAGATGGACGCAATTATTGGAAGACTGCGCCCTCAAGGAATACTTAATTAGGTAATTTTATTTCTCTGTCAAGGAGCCATACGTTTATGCAACAAGGTAATTATCAGTTTCAGTCTAGAATTTCGTTTTTTGCTATGGCAACTATACTAGACTAGAATAAGAGAATATAAATTTTGATTATTCTTCTAGTGTATCTATTAAAATATATACAATCTTGTCATATATATTAATAAGTACATCGACATCGAACCTTGATGTTCAAACTTCAGAAAAATGTATGTAAATCCATATGCCTACAAATCAGCCTACAATAAAATCGAAGATCTAAATAACGACATTTAGATAAATTCGAAATTTTTTTTTTTTTTACAATCTTTCAAAAATGCAAATATATCCACTGTTATTGTTCTGTGTAGGTGTTTTAAGCGTAGGATTATGTTCTTGAATCAATATTTCCTACGCAATGATATTAGAACACACACAGTTTAGGCGGTAGTATACTCATTGACTGCTTGAGTGATAATTAAATATGAAACTCATTGTGAAATGCAATGTTATAAGGCGTCTCAGTAGCCGCATTCATTCAAAGTAAAATCCGCAAAATTACATCCAGTGGGTTGGTGTCATTGCGGGAAACATGAGTATATATCTTGTCATGTTAAACTTTATATAGAACTCAAAATTGACAATCGTTTAAGAGATCAATTATAAAAATATAATTACATATTATTTTTTCTATTGTAATTAAATTATTTTGTAAAAAATAATTTTTCTTTATGTTTCAGATGCAGCAGGGAGGAAAAACTAGGTATTAGAAAACTAAATCGTAAATAAATTTTTTCAAAAACAAAAAAAATTTTGTGCGCAGGATATAATACAGAGGGAAAAAATTCTCTGATCATCCTAAACGGTATCGTGCACTTTTTTTTTGCTACAGCGTCTTTCGTCTAATTGCAATATGAATAGAAATTCCATTTGCGAGCGCAGGATGTTGAAGATCATGCTTATCGAAAAGGTAAACATAGATTGACTAGGTTTCAGGTTAAAAATGGGTTATTTCCTCTAAATTATAGATTAGAAATGGGAAACATTTATTGCAAAACTGCCAAGAATGCCCGGTTTACTCCACAATCGATAAAAGTATTTTACTTATATATATATATTGTCGTAACGTTTTATTTACTTTTATTTATGAATACGAATAAAATTTTTTTTTTCTGCAAAAAGAAAAAAAAAATATCTGGAATGTTATAAGGACTGATTTGTATAGATAACGTGTATGTAATTTCCCATGCATCAATCCAGAATCACGTATGCATTTTACAGTGAATGGAATATGATGCAAAAGAGAAATCCTTGGCTTTTCATAACGAAAAATTCCAACGACATATGGGTCATTGGAAATCATTCATAAAATCATTTACTATTGGAACTTTCCTTTTCTTAAAAGTAGGTTATAAAGATTGTTTTCATTTTTTGAACTAATTTGTTTAGGGATTTTGAGTGTTTTTGTTTCTTGCCAGTTAAACTGATGTTAGAACAAAAAATTTTCTAAAATTGTTAACTTCAGCGTCAAATGCCAGAATTTAAATAATATTCAGGTATTATAGAGAATTATTGATGTGGTAGAAGGTATTTTTGATTATTAGAAAACTTTTTAAAGAATATAACGTATAAGAATGAGGGTCATCGTATCGTAAAATGGTACCTGAATAAGTGATTACAAGTATAAAATTCTCGAGGGAGACCTGCAGGGATCGTGAGTGGAATGAGCATTAGACATGACCAGTTTGGAAAAAAAAGAAAAATTGCCTTCTCTTCAAGGCTATTTTGCGCGGGAGAGAATCCCATTGGTCGGTTAGGAACCCGCGAATTCTCAGGGTTGAAGGCCAACACGAGATTTCCAATGTTGATGGCGGGAAGCTCGTGGTGAACCCTTCGGACTCCACAGGTAGACAACACCAAAACACTTTTATAAAAAAAATAATTTATGAACACTTTTTCGCTTTTTTCTTCAAACAAATGATTTTAAGTAAAAAATTTTTAGTTCATAAATACAGTAAATTATTATTTTTTTTTTTTTTTTTTGGAAAAAAAGAGACTTTTTTCCCCTGGAAAATTGAACATTAAATTTAATTGATATAAAGCGTTAAATCTGAAAAGCATAAAACGAGAATAAATGACTGTAATGGATGTTGGAGAGAAAATTTTCTTTGTTGTGAATAAGAAACAATGTATAGGGATGAAAACAGTACCTCGTGGTCTGTATCTTGGATGCTGGTGTGTATGTGTATAATAATCAAGAGCGCGGGAGATTATGTGAGACGCGAACACAATGCGTGCAAGTTGGAGAACAGAGAAAAAGGGTTCCTCATTCTCTCACTAGAGATCTCTACTGTCTGGTGATCCGTACCGAGAGGATGTTGACCCGAACAACCGCCATCTTGGTCCACGATGTAAGGATATAATATATATATACATGTACAGTGTGTATACTATAGTGAACGTAGTACTACGCACAGCTGGAAACTTAACACGCATGGCACATTTTACACATTCACTTCACACATACTAATAAAAATGTGAGACTTATCTTTTTTACGGACCCTTTATGATGAAAATTTAAATTCAAGTTTTATTTCTTTGAAATCAAAAAGTAATTCTATTATGAAAAATAATTTTGAAAATAGCATTTTGTTTAAAAAAATAATAATAATAATTAGTTAATAAATCACAGATGATATTTTTTAATTAAAAAAAGAAATGACTTCTGCCTAAAGTATAGACAAGAATTTTAATCATTTTAGACATGATAAATAGTTGTATATGAAGCGTTATATGCTTATATATATAAGTGAATAAACAATCGCGAATATAATGCGACATCGTCGAGTTGCAATTCTTGGCATCGTATTTCTTATCATCGTGATTTAAAGCTATTAAGAATTGTTTACACGTGTGGAGTGAGCGCGAGCGTGCGCGTACCAGGGATGCATTACGTTTGATGTGCATATAATATTGTATTTCAAATATATACGGGATTATAAACCGCGTCGCATTTATTGACAATGATGCGTGCAGAAACACCGTTTGTTCATTCCCACAATTTTTTTCCCCTCTCTTTTAAAAACTTTGATATTGACAAATAAGTTTAAATTATAATAGGGGGATATTTAAACTATATATTTATTATATATATGAGGCATTCTTTATCAAAAAGACACCCCCCTCTCTGCCAGAATAGATTTAATTAAATAAAGCTCTAAATTACAGCAAATTTTATCTATTTTTTGATGCCGTATGGCAATTATTAAATATTAAACATGGGGGATCACAAATGTTAAAAAAAACCTTTAATATTATCGAAAAAAGTAATATTTTTTTAAATATAAGGTTAAAACTTATTTTTTAAAATAAAAATCGATTACCGGCACAGAAATCTGCATTATTGACTGATGGTAAAAGCAGAAAAATGCTGATGTACAAATTTACCGACATAAAAATCTACATTACCGACTTATGGTAAAACAGGAAATGTGATATTTAAAATTTACCGACATAGAAATCTACATTACCAACTTATAGTAAAACAAATTTCAATAATTAAAAAAATTCTTCCTCTTGACCATCAGTCGGTATTGTAGATCTCTATGTCGGTCATTTTTATATCATCATTTTCTTGATTTTACCATTAGTCGATAATGTAGATTTCTGTGCCGGTAATCGATTTACATTTTTAAAAAAATCAGTTTTAACCTTGTATTAAAAAAAATATTACTTTTTTCGATAATATTAAAGTTTTTTTTAACATTTATCTTAACTTAAAATAAAAAAAAAATTTGTAATTATTACAAATATTATACAGAATTAATTGTTTATTAAGGGAATTAATGATGTCAAAATGATAAGGCGAGAAATGAGGAATGCGAAGAAAAACGAGAATTGTTTTTTGTTTTTAGTTATAAATTAAAAGTTCAATAACCGACAAACTGTTCCAGTTTGATTGAGAGGAATCGACAGGTGTAGCAGGTGTAACCACAATCTAGTCAAGTGCATTAATAAATGAACATATATAAGCATTAATTTACCCCATAAGATATCTAGTTGATGATCAAACATGATCTGATTATTATCGCAATAACAACATTATTAAGTTATTTAATTTTTTTTCGAAAATATGATTTATAAATAAAAATTGACAGATTCATAGCTTATATTTATAATGAGATTATTAACGTTGAAAGGTTGGTTTCAAAAATAAAAAAAAAATTTGTATATTAATAACTCGAATGAAATATATTTTATATTTAATTCGAGATTTTAATATATGGAAAATAAAAATAGAAAAATAATTATATGAAAATAAATAAAAAATAAGAATATTATTTTTTTTATAAAAATTCAGGTTATTTGTAAATTTAAATTTTATAGAATTCTGAGATTATTTTTACTTCTCTCGAAGAAATGAAACAATATGTGCGCGTTACCCAGACAAAAATATTTGTTACTTAGCAACCTTTGCCCAAGATCGAATTTACCGAAACGTTTTTACGCATGATAGAACTTTCGTATACGGATCATTACATGCGAGCCCTTCGCTTAACATCAGTATAGTATATATATGCAAAAAGAAAGAAGGGTGAATATCTTTGATGTGAGAATTTTAAAAAGTAATGACTTTGTGAAGAATTGGCCCATAAATTGCCTCAGATTCTTGATAAAAAAAAAAAAAAAAAAAAAAATTGAATGAGGTCAGGTGTTTGATATTTGCATCTAATCTCACCAATGTTCAATGATTCGGAACATTTTTTTTTTCCTCTTGAGGTTCCCCTTTTATTGCCATTTAATATTAATTTTTCTCCCATTTACGATAAATTAATATTATTTATTATTCATATATTATTTTCTTAATTATTAATCCATATTTATTAGGAAAAAATTTTATTCGACTCAAATTTAACTTTTCTTATATATATGAAAATTTAATAAGAAAATGATATCGCAAAATTTTTATGATTTACATAATATAATATGTAATTTAGAAATATTGTCCAAAATAACAAACTAAACGGCTGTTAAATCAGAATTGCGATGCTAGCAGTTAAAATATTGAAAACGCATCACGATTCCTGTTTACCAGGTGTGTGCACGCAGCAATGAAATATATTCATATATTCATAAATTCAGAACCAGATGTTTATACATAAAAATTGGACATGTTTTCTTTTTTTTTTGTTTGTTTAGAAACACAATACAATAAGTACATCTCTAAAAACATGTCAATTTTGTCCAAAAAAAAAGAAAGAAATTCGCATAAATTAAAAATTAGTGTTGGCGTTAAATAAAGGCAATTATTTAGAAATTAATTTTGTTGGGAATATTTCGTATATATATATATATATTATATAATAAATTGATATATTCGTATCAATATTTGAATAATGAATAAATGAAAAATTACATAAGAGTAACCTAACGAAAAAAAAAGAAAGAAAAGAAAAAGAAGACGAGTTTTTCTGTGTGAATCAGTTCTTATCAGATTGAGGCACCTGCACTGACACCACACAACAGGGAAATTATCCTGACCTCGACGTTAGTGCAGTGGTCATGTGAACCATCAGCCAAGGAGAAGCGGTTCCGGTGACGGCTTCCGGTTTCAAACATCCTCCCCCACTTTCCCCCTTTCGGGAGCCATCGCACCATTCAGCAGCCCCTTCAACCAAACCTCTCTCTCTCTCTCTCCTCTTTTACTATTGCTTTACTATATACGCGCGCGGTCACGCTGACTGAACCACGTGGGATCTGGCG